GATGAGGTGCTCCCTCTTTGATGAGGTGCTCCCTCTTTGATGAGGTGCTCCCTCTTTGATGAGGTGCTCCCTCTTTGATGAGGTGTTCTTATTTTCTTGCCCTCCAAAGACCAAGAACAACCACCTGCCCACCTCAGCTGCCCAACCCACACTCCCTCCTGGGCCCATGTCTCAGACACCTCAGAGCCATAGTCCTCAGGCACCAGGACATACATGACAATAGCTCTACTTGGTCAACTGTCCAGGTCAGTTTCTCAAACTGGCACAGAGACAGAAGCCCTCTGGGAGCCATGGAGAGGGAGCAACCCCTTAAACTTGAGCCTAAAGCCAGGTGAAGTGATTATAAAGATTTACCCTAGTGAGCTGTGTTATCCTAGTCCATGCATGGGCCTTTCTAGCCAATAGCTATTTAGCAGAAGAACTCAGGAGAAACTGAGGCCTCTTGAAAAGAAATGGGGACTATTAACAGTAAGCAGGTAATCTACGGTCAGACTCCTTGCCCACCTCTGGGCTTCCTAAGTTACTTACAGGTATTTTGGTTGGCTGTTGGTTGGTTGGTTTCTGGTTTTGTTTGTTTGTATGCTTGTTTGTCTGTGGCAGGATCTTCTATATCCCAGGCTGGTCTCAAACTCCCTCCATAACCAAGGATGCCCTTGAATTTTTGGTCCTACTGCCTCCACCTCCCAAGCACAGGGATTCCAGGCTTATGTCACCATGTCCAGTTTATGCAGTGCTGAGACTCAAACCCAGGGCTCCATGCATGCTAAGCAAGTACTCCAACGACTGAGCTTTGTCCCCAGCACTCTCCCACCCCCACCCTCATGCAAGGAATGGAACCAGGACCTTGTACATTGTAGTCATGCACTCCATCACTGACCCAGATCTCTAGTCTGCAGAACACTGATTTAGAGCAACAGAGAAGGGTTGCGTCCAGTCTCCTGTGTTATCTGAGTCCCATAACCTTATCCTCACCCCCCAAGGCATCCATCCCCAACACTGAAGCCACCATGGATGTTCCCAGCCCTCACATCACATCTTTAGAGGAGGCCTGGCTCCTGGATGAGAGGTAAGGTGTCTCTTCAGGGACATAGAGAAGACTGAACCCCAGGACAGAGACAAGGTCAAGGGTAAGAGATAGGACAGGGAAGCCAGAATTAGGAGGTCACACCAAAATGCTTAGCTAGACTGCCTGTGATGACCAAGCACCTCCTGAGTGTTCAAGAAGAAGGGGCTTTGGGGCAGACAGCACACTGGTGAGTTAGCATGGGGTGCGCTCCCGAAAAACATGGGAGGAAAGGGACAGAGGAGAAAATGTGAGGAGCTAAGAAGCCATAGGCATCACCCAGGTGGAGGAAGAGGATAACACCAGCCAATTAAGCAGCATTTTCTTCTAATTCTCATGACAATGTTGTTTGCTACTGAGTCATGGGCTTGGCAGTGCCTACCTAGAAGGGCCAGGCCTTGATTTATCTGTGGAAGCCAGATGTGGGGAAATATATCTCTAACCCCAACAGTAAGGAGGCCTAAGAAGGGAGACTTCAGGATTGAAGCCAGCCTGGACTAAATAATCTGTTTCTAAAACAAACAAAAGGCGTTCAGATGTCTGGTGAGAGCTCAACGTGAATTCTATCCCTAGAACCCATATGCAGAGGTTTCCACGAGAAATGCCATCCCTCTGGGCTTGGATTCTGAACACTCAGTCCCCAGTTGGTGCTGTTTAGAGAGAGTGTGCATCTTTCCTGGAGGAAACACTTCATGTTTGTATTTGACTATGTAATCTCTCAGCTTCCTGTCCAGCAGCTTCCTACCACACCTCCCCTGGCATGATGAACTCTTATTCCTATGGGAATGTAAGCCAGGATAAACTCTCTCTTCCATGCATTGATTTTGGTCATGGTGTTTCAGCATGCTAGCAGGAAAATAACTAATACACCACATAGACAGATGATAGACAGACAGACAGATAATAGATGAGAGAATAAATAAATCAATAAATGGTAATGAATAACTAAATAAATGGGTGTAGTGGCTCGTGCTTTATAATCCCAGCACTGAAGAGTAAACTCCAACCAACCTAGCATATTCAGCAAATTTCAGGTCAATGAGAGACCCTCTCTCAAAAAACCCTAAGTGGATTCCTCTATGTGCACATGCACACACCTGCACACACACACACACACACACACACACACACACACACACTCTTTTTTAAAGGTACTCAGTGGACTAGAGAAACCCAGGTTTGTAAGGAGGAATAAATACATTCTTAGAAACTATTTGGTTGTCTACAACCATGCTTTACTTCGACCAAAAACAAAGATTGTCACCTGGTAATGGGGAGTGTGTCACAGAGAAAGCAGACTATGAAAATTCTTAAATGACCTTTGAGACCTCAGAAATTACAGTACAGGAGAAAACAGTGACAGACAAGCCATGTGGGCTGAGTGGAGTCAGAGGTGCTCACCTGAGAGGCGATCTGTGACATCCAGCACTGCAGGGCCCGTCAGGAAACGCACACGCCCAGCAAACGCTTGCAGGAGGCAAAGGTGGTCTGAAAGAGATGGAGACACCCACGACCATGACATTGCCAGCCATGCCAACACACCAGGTGCTCACGGTGCTAGGTGTCCACATGCCCTCATGAGGAAGGGCCCTATGAGGAGCTGAATTAACTCTTTAAGATCACAGTGTCTGTCTGTCTGTCTGTCTATCTGTGTTTGTATGTCTGTGTGTGTAGGTGTGGGTGGGTGAGTACGGGTGTGTGGATGTTTGTGTATGGGTGTGTGGATGTATCTGTGTCTGTGTGTGTCTGTGTGTGTGTGTCTGTGGATATGTAAATGTATGTATATGGGGAGTGTGTATATGTCTGTGTGTCTGTTTGTCTGTGGGTATGTGTATATGTATGTCTGTGTGTCATCTGTGTGTGCACACATGTGTGTGTGTGTGCATACATGTGCAAGTGTGGAGGCTGGAGGATAACCTCAGGTGTTGGTCCTCAGCTCCCACCTGATTTGAGGCAGGCTCTCTAACTTGCCACTGCTGTGTGTCAGACTAGCAGCCGTAAGCTTCCTGGACTCACCTGCGGGGAAAACAAATGTGTGCATCCAGATCGATCTGGGACTTTCGTGACAAGTGTCTTACCCACTGGCCCATCATCCCATCATCCCAGCCTGGGACTAGCTTTTGAAAATGCAAATGAACATAGGATATCTATCGGGGGAAGAGTGGGCGGTCTCAAGCAGTTAGATCGAGTCCCAAACAGTCCTCCATTTACTCTCATATAAATCTCTGTGATTTTCTAAATTGTCTTAAAGTAAGGTTTGAGATAAAAGACGGTAGATGAATGGCTGTCAGACAGAAGACAGACACACAAATGCTGACACTGGCAGTCGATGGAGGGAATGAATAAATTGATATAAATGTATTTATAGCTTTGGGGTGAACTGAGGCACTCCTTGATGGCCACACAAAAGCCATCTCAGGGCTGGGGATAGCATTCAGAAGTCAAGGCTTTCAGTAAGTCTGAACTCACACTCTGGTCCCTCCATGCCAGATAGTCATTTAGTCCCACAGTGAGCACTTCCTGGTGCCCTTTATGTGATGGACATGGAACCCAGAACCAGTAAAAAGGAGTCCCCCTACCCTCCTGGAAGTTTCTTTGATTTGAACATGAACCATAAGCTAGGGTGAGAAACTGTGTTCATGTAGCCGGAGCCTGAGCACCCATAAGGGTAGGTCAACACCCCTTGGTCTGTCCAAAGAAGGCACAATCTCAGACCAGTCTCCTGCTACCTACCCACTGCTACTGCCGAGAACCTGGAGGCACTGCTTTGCCCAGCTCCCAGCATGCTCAGCGCCCAGCATGCTCAACGCCCAGCTTGTCAGCTCCCAGCATGCTCAGCGCCCAGCTTGTCAGTGTCCAGCTTGCTCAGCGCCCAGCTTGCTCAACTCCCAGCATTTTGCAACCACACAGTAATGGAACAACTTAATGGAAGATAAGGCAAGTAGGGAAATGCCCTTCTGAGGGTTGTGGCTATGAAGCTTGCCCACACCTGAGGGTAGGGGGCAGGCCAGGTGTGTGTCTCCTGGTGCCTTAGTTGATTTTCTACTTCCATAATTTAAAAAACAAACAAACAAAAAAACAAAACAAAAAAACAATTAAAACCCGAGCAGTTTATAAACCAGTAAACTTTATTTGCTCAGGATTTGGAGGCTGGAAAGTCCAAGAGTTAGGTACTAGCCTCTGGTGAGGGCATGGATGCCAAAGGTGGAAAGCAGGAGTGCACCTCTATGTATGAACAAGAAAGGAACCCAAAGCCATGTCTTCCATCAGGATCCCACCCTGATACCTGAGCCGTCCCTGCAGCGATGTATAAATCCGTCCACCGGGCAGAGGCCCTGACCTAAGCAACTCCCAACGGTCGTGCCACTACCACAGAAGGCTCTCAAATTCAGTGTGGTTTAGAGGAGGAGGCATCAAAGTAATGCACGCCTAAGGTCAAGGAGCCTGGGTTTAGTAGGTGGGTGGTCTCATGTAGCACGGGGAAAGCAAATCACTTCTCCCTCCTCAGTTCTCTCCCACAGGGCACAGTCCTCAAGGGATGTCTGGGAGGTCCTTGAAAAAAAAACAATCAGCAGATCGACCAGACCATGTGGCTATGGCAGCCAGCATACAGCAGGAGCTTCCTAAATGCTTGCAGGGTACATGTAGCTGACAAATCCTTGCTGGCTAAGTGTATGTGCTTGGAAAATGCTTTCAGAGTATGCCTGCCTGGTAAATGTTTGCAGAGTAGTTTTTCCTGGGTGGTTTATGAACGCCAGAGCAGTTTACACACACACTTGGTCTGTCTTGATTTGGTCACCTCTATAAGACTCACCTTCTTGGATCACATTCAGATTTAATGAGACAGGAAAGCATAGTGAATGGGTACAGATTCTGGCCTAGAGCCTCTATCTTATTTCGCTACATAACACTGTATGAGCTACTACCTCCCTTGCTGCCTTGACTTACCTATCTATAAAATGGGGATAATCCCAGTTCCTTTCTTATTGAGTTGCTCTGAGGATTAGATGGCTTAACTTAATGTTTAGGATCGGCCCCATATCATATAATTAATAATATATATCTGCTATTTGCAATGAGTTCTAGTACTCTCCTAAAATTCTCACAATGGAAAAATCAAATAAGACGCCAGAGGTAGCTCAGCAATAGAATACTTGCCTAGCATGTGCAAAGGCCCTAGTTAGTTCTGTTCCAAACATCAGAGAGGGAGAGAGAGAGGGAGAGGGAGAGAGAGAGAGAGAGAGAGAGAGAGAGAGAGAGAGACAGAGACAGAGACAGAGAGACAGAGAGAAGGATGATGATGATGGTGATGATGGATTCTAATATTTGAAAGGCTAAAGTCAGGCTTTAGCCTAAAGGCTCCATTAGCTTGGCCCACATTTCCAGAAGGTTCTTTTTGCCTTCCAAGGAGGTCAAGACTTACTGTGCAGTATAAAGAACACAATATACTACTGTGCTATGAGAAGAAAGCAGGCCTGGCTAGTTGGTCAGAGACCCTGATCTCTCTTGGTTCCCCTCTCTACAAAGGGACAGAGGGATCTCCATGCATTATCAAACTTGCTTCACTTAGAGAAGCCCTGAGGCCACCAGGACATTTTATCTTCAGACTACTGGAAAGCCACAGAAGAACTGTATGAGTCGGAAAAACAAATAAAAAAATCAACAGCAAAAACTTAACATTTCACACCTTTTACTTTAGGGTTTTTGGGTTTTTTTTTTTTTTTTGAGACTGGGTCTCGGTGTGTAGCTCTCAGAGATCTGTCTGCCTGTGCATATTTGTGAATATAATTGTGATATTATACATTTGAATTTGCATCCTGTTTAAGCAAATCAGAGCATGAGCATTTCCTATGATAACGCTCGAGCCACAGGCTGCCCTGAGATAATGTACTTAGGCAAGTGGATCAGTTCCCCTCCTCGTGGTGTTTCCTGGATGACCACACCCAGTTTGGGCCACATGGAAGGCTAGAGTGTGTTCCGTTACTGGCTTACAATGACTGTTCACAGGCGACCATCAAGCCACTGTGCACATTGTCGGGTTTTCACAATTTTCTAAAAGAAATCTCTTCTAAGGGTTGGGGAGATGGGTCAGTGGGTAAAGACCTGAGTACTACGCCCAGAATACACTGGGACAAAAGCCTGGGGTGGTAGTGTGCTCTGGGATATAGAATCCCAACCCGGGGTCGGGGGAGGGAGACAGGTGGCTAAGTCCCAGTGAGAGATCAAAAAAACCTAAGGAAGATACATCCCAAAGAACTACACCTGAGGTTGTCCCTGCCACCCACAGAGACAGACAGACACACACACACACACACTTTTATGGGTTGGTATTGGCTATAAAGGGTGTATTATTTTCAAATGCTTTAGATTTTCCATTTCTCAATAATTAACAAGCCTGATTTTCACAGCCTCCTCCCCAAAAAAGAGCCTTTTATGTTTACATAACTAGGGAACCTGTAAAGCAGCATTGAAAACTGGGTAGTGTTCATTTGGTTTTTTTCTTTGAATTTTTTAGACAGGGGGGTCACATGTAGCCCAGGTTGGCCCTAAACTCACGTTAATCCTCTTGCCACAGCTTCCCAAAAGCTGGGATTACAGGTATGTAGCACCAATGTCTGTCCTGAATACAATTAAATGAAAGAGCCTATATCCAAATTACATCCACTTGTGGATTTTTGCTGGGTAAACTTGGACAAATATGGACACTTATAGAAGGCGGAGATTTTGAGTGTTTGGTATATTGGAGAGGCATCTGGATCCCAAGTCTAAGCCTGTTAACAATATAACGTCAGTCATATGATTTACAGACATTTAAACTCAGAGAGAAGACAGCAAAGCTAGATCCAAGGCCACCAGCACCCCAAGCTTATCTGGCCTCTCCAGCAGGCTGAGCTGAATTAAGAGAGCTCCTCTTGGCTGTGAGAGGCCGGAATGCCAAGGTCATCTGTGGGAGGCAGAGTTGCAGCTTGCCGTTCTCATCAGGCGAATATCTTCTACAACTAACCCAACAGTAACAGAGCCCAACAGGGCCAACCAGTCTGCTCTGGCACTTCCTTAATCCTCAGAAAAATTCCCCAGAAATCGGGTCTCAGTGTCTAGTAGGAAAAAGGGCAGAGCCCCAGGTTCAGAGAAACCCCAAAGTAGGAAGTGGGTGATGAAGGGCAGAGGCCGGGGAGCAAGCCACCCAGTCTCCTTCCTCCACCCTAAGGGATCAGCCGTGGAAACCAGCAGCTGTTGTATCAACCGATATATCATCCAAGCTTCCAGCCCTCAGGAAATCCGAGGAAGAAGACATAATTGTGGCTGATGAGATGATGCTACCCCTGAATCTCACAATGGAGAAGCATCTTCAGACTCGTCCTAGAAAAGCCAGCCTTCTCATTATTGTACCATCTGGACTTTATGCCAGAAGACAACAGCCTTGCTTGGCATTGCTCTTGATCCTCCTGCCCTGCAATTAGCAGGAAACAGACTGCAGCATGCTGTGCTGACACTCTGGCCTTCCACATTTAAGCACTGCCCCGGCATCTGACGGAGCATCTCCAGCCTGCAGCCAGAATCCATGGAGGCCATGAGGAAAGGAAGCAGGTTGGTGAGAAAGCACCTCCGTACGAAGAGTCCAGTGAACTAGAATTACCAGGCTTAGCTTTGTCATTTTTCTGTCCCTACTGCCCAAGGCTCTGGAGCTATCGCTCAATGCCCTGGGCAGTAGGAAGTTTGGTTAATTGCCATTTGGGCTAAATGCAGCTCATTCCAGGCAGGCAGGTGACACAGCCTTTCCTTGTCATTCACTAGGGGTGATTAAATCTCCATGTCACTGACCTAAGTCCTTAAGTGTGACACTTTATGATCAAGAACACCTCCAGAATCAACACTGCTAGTGACTGAGGAGGTGTTTCAGAGTAAACCCACCTGGCCCAGACAATTCATTCCCACACCCGTTGGAACAGAACCACACTTGAAATCAAGATAACACACTGCATCATGTAGGCTCCACAGGAACTCTTGTGAGGGTTTTATATGGCTCCCTTGGACCTCTGGGGCCAGCACCATTCCATCCCAAACCTCAGCACTGATCGGAGGAGTATGGAAGACAAACAGACACACACACACACACACACATACACACACACACCCCTGCATCATTTCCCCTGTACTAGAGCCTCGGACTAGTGGACCAGAAGGGCTCTTTCCAGCTGTAACCAAGAGGACTTTGTTCCAACAGGGAGAACTACATGGCTGAAACCCTACTTGCAGTATGCTGATCTCTAAAGGTTTCTGTGTTAGGAGCTTGGTCCTCAGTTTGTAAGTGTTGGAAGGAGGTGAGACTTTCAGGAAGTAGAAGTTAGCATAAAATAATAAGATCATTAGGAACATTGTCCATGGAGAATAAGTGAATTAGTTCCCATGATGTTCTTTAAATACATTAAAAAGTGTGTGTGTGTGTGTGTGTTCGCTCACATGAGTGCACACGCATGCGTGTGTAGGTCAGAGGAAACTTTCAGGTGTCGGTCCGTGCCTTCTACCTAGTTTCACTGGGCTAACTGAGCTTCCCAGGATTCTCCCATCTCTGCCTCCTGTTCCTACACAGGAGCACTGGGATTTTAGATGCTTACGCTGCTATGTCCCACTTGAAGCGGGTCCTGGGGTCTCAAATTGTGAACTCACACAGAACACTATTTATTGAGCACAACCATTTTTCCTGAGAGAAAGGTGTAATCTCTTCTGCAGGCGCTACCACCATTGTGACATCACCCACCACAGTGACATCATCACCACGGTGTCATCATCACCACTGTGACATCATCACCATTGTGACGTCATTTCACTATGAGGCCTCCATGAAAGCTGATCAGAAATTGATACCATGCTCTTGGACTTGGACTTCCAGAACCATAAATTAAAATTCTTTTTTTACATAAACTTCCCAGCCTTGGAGATTTTTGTTGTAGCAGCAGAACCAGACTAATACACAGGCTACTCTCAAGCCTACTGCTTTTCAGGGTCCTCATCCTAGGTGCGTACAGCAAGTCCTTGGATAGAGGGCACCTGAGTCTTATAACTACGGGAGACACTAAATTCTGTTGTTCAAAGCACAAGACTCTTCCACGCTAAGGAAAGTTGGCCTGGTAGCATGGAGCAACCTAAAACCCTTGGCAAGCAGAGTTGAAAAAGCTCTGACAGGAGTGCTCATCCTCCTCAAATACCTAAAGCCCATTCTGCTTTGTGTAGGTTTTCCCAATAAATCCAGGGCCTGGCATGATTTACCAAGAGCCTTGATTATTGGCAACAGCAATCTCACTCACTCAGAGCAGTGCAGCGAGCAAGCTGTAATTTAGGGCCCGATTTGTATTGTTTGTTCCACAGTAACAAACTCAGCAAATCATAAATTTCCTCCAAGATAGAATGTGGAAATTGACAATATTTATGAACTCAGGAGACAAAAAGGGACTTGACCAGGCCTTTGATTTGTTACTGAAACTTCTCCTGGTGGCTCTAGCCAAGGACACAGCTTGCTATCCCAGGCCCAGGAGCTGGGTTCTAGCCAAGGCATAGAGAAGGAGGCGAGGTGAGTATTCCAGGATGTTTTGCCTGGGATGCTTTGTGAATGCCAGTGGCCAGGTGCCACCGTGCATCAGGTACACGGCAAAGGCAGTCTTCAGATACAAGTTCCTTTACACTGGCCCAGACATAGCCCTACTCAGGGACTACATTCTCATCAGACCTCAAGTTTTAAGCTTGCCCTTCCCTCTAGGGATATACTCAATATTACCTAGCCAGGAAAAGAACAGGGGATACACCAAAAAGTCAAGTCCCCCCCACCGAGCGGAGATGCTATCAAGGGCATTTGACTGACATGCTCTTGCTTCACATGACGACTGCCCACTGCACCTTCCTTCTTTTCTGTGTTCTTTACTTCTCTGTTACAGTCCACCACCAGCCCCTGGCACAGAGGAGCTTTGCCAGTCACTTCTCAGTCACCCTTGCGGTGCCCTGTGGCCCTGAGAAAGCCATTTTCCTCATGCGACTGACCACAGGGAAGCTAGGTCAGGCCCTCTCTCACTGCCTCCATTCCTGACCACCCAGAACCTAGTAGACTGTGACAGTCCAAACAAGAATGGCCCCGTAGGCTCATAGATTTGAATGCTTGGTCATTAGGGAGTGGCATTACTTGAGAGGGATTAGTAGTGTGGTCTTGGGAGAAGTGTGTCGCTGGAGATGGCCTTTGGGGTTTCAAAAGCTCAAGCCAGTCCTGGTGTCTCTGTCCTCTAGCTTCCCAAGGATCCAGGTTCTCAAGGTTCTCAAGCTCCTTCTCCAGCACCATGTCTGCCTGTGTGCTACCATGCTTCCCACCAAGGTGACAGTGGACTAACCCTCTGACACTGTAAGCTAGTCTCAATTACATGCTTGTTTTATAAGAGTTGCCATAGTCCTGGTGTCTCTTCACAGCAATAGAATTGACTAAGACATAACTAAAACATGGGAAAGCCTCCAGCCAGAGACCTGGAGACCCTACAATGCCAATGCCTGCTCTATACTGCTTCTGACATACTAACCAGAGTCATTTGCAACTCAGCTGACCGCCATGCACAAGAAAATGAGTGTAATGATTTAAATAAAATGGTCCCCCATAGATTCACAGGAAGTGGCACTATTAAGAGGTGTGGCCTTATTGGAGGAACTGTGTCACTGGGGGATGGGCTTTAAGGTTTCAGATGCTCAAGCCAGGCCCAGTGTCACTCTCACTCACTTCTGCCTGCTGATTCAAATGCAGAACTCTCAAGTACTTCTCCAATATCATGTCTGCTTCCATGCCAACATACTTCCTGTCAGGACAACAACAAACTAAACCTCTGAGACTGTAAGCCATCCCAATTAAATATTTTCCTTTCAGAGTTTCAGTGGTCACGGTGTCTCTTCACAGCAACGAGTGTGGTGGTCCAGATGCAGGGACTTCCCGCAGCCCTGCAGGGACTGCAGTGGGATGCTCACCCAGGCTGTCCATCATGGCATCCAGCACAGTGGAGGCAGCAGTGGAAATCCCAGAGTTCTTAGAGTTGAGGTTGTCTGCAGCTGAGATGATGAGGGACAGCAGCATGGGGTGGATGCTCTCTTTCAGGATGGGAAGCATCTGTGCGAGGGATTCCAGCGCCCACTGGTTCACTTTCTTGTTGGAATCATGAAGCCTTGGGGTAAAAGCATCAAAGACCTATTGAGGGAATAAAAGTCAAGAGTTCGTGGGCTTGGCAGACATCAGCTGGGAGTCTTTCCACATCTATGAGATGGATCCCCAGGCCTGTGCTAGCACATTCCCAATGATGAAGAGCTCATCTCTTCCAAAGGGGAACAGGCAAAAAAGAAGAAGGACAGTCATGTGCTGAGCATGTCTTCACATGTCAATCACCCAGAGCACTGGGGTAGGTCTTCTTCACTGTCATTCACTGATGACCTTAGCGACTCGGGTTACTGTTATCATTCTCCAGTTTCCCACCAACGAGGAAACTCATGGAGGAGACTGAGTCTCCTCAGATCACACAGCTAGTGGGGAACAGCTTGACTCAACCTGGGTTGCCAGCTGCCCGTCAGCATCACTCCAAGGAAAAACAGGAATCCTTCCTGGTGTTCAACCTGTTACCCAGACTGTCCCATCATTTACAGCCCAGCCACTGTCCAACCACAGGCTCTGATACCAAATACTATGCAACTAACAAACTGAATGTGCCCCAAGTCATTGATGACAGCACCCTCTCTGGCAGAGGGACGGAAGCCACCCAGGAAATCTCTGAGCATTCTAAAGACATGCTCAGACCCTCACCCACATCTGACTATTCTTTTACAGAGACCATCTGAAAGGTGAGTGCTTAGGGGTTCCCTGTACATCCCTACATATCAGTTCAGAGCTCTCCAGATTGAGCTGTCACCGACAGGGAGAAATAAGGGAGGGCATGTGTGGGTGCTCACCTGGACTAGGTTGGCAGCAACGAGCTCTGGCTTGGCCTTGCAGTATTCAAGGAGCTTCCCAACGCCTTCCATCCGAGCCTGGAACTCCTTGGCCTCCAACAGCCTGGTCAGCTCCCGCAGCTGCTCTGCCATCTCCACACCGCCCCGCACAGAGGAGCGTAGCCCCATCAGCCGTGGGCCATTGGAGCCAAGCCTAGGTGGAAGCAGGGGCTGACCCCTGGGGAAGAGCCCAGGGGATGAACACATCTCTCATCCCAAGCTGCATCCCACTGCCAGGTAGGACAGAAACAGTGTGTCTCCTGCAGCTTACTCTAACCCCTGCCTCTCTTCTAAATGCTGCTTGGAGACACTGCACTTGGAGACTCTGGGCATCTCTTTTTCCCCAAAGGATAGTAAGTAAGGTTCTCTCTTCCTGGTTTTTACCTTTTCCTTTTCTGAGGACAGGTAAAGAGTTGAGGGTAGGGAGGGTAAGTGAGAGTATACCATGGACAGGTGCAAGCGTTGAGGGGGAGGGGATCGACCCAGGGTCTCATGCATGCTAGACAAGTGCTCTGCCACAGAGAAATTCACCCCACCACCAGCCCTGCTAGAATATATTTAACCTAAGGATAAGGGTAGATTCAAGATCCTGGAGGCCATCACATCCCACCTCTGTTGGTTCCCATGTCCTGCCCCTTGTTGACTTGGCTCTCACATGCCTCTAGGGACAGAGGGTGTACCTGCTCCCTCACACTGGGATCACATTGTCCCTCAGAGCCTAGACTGTCGCAGCCAGCATGAAAAAGGCTCCACACAAGATTCCCACCTCCCACACTAAGTTCAAAACCAGGGTCTCAGAGCTCCTGCCCTACACCCGGGTCTCACCCTACAGTCTCCAATATCACCCTTTCTATCATGTGTTCGTGTGGCCCACATTCTTGCCTACTGAATACCAACAGCTGTGTCTGGGACCTGAGAACAAAGAGATACACAGTCTTTGCCTTAAACATCTCAAAAATAGATAGGAGGCAGGAGTTTGAAGAAGAGGGGGCAGCTGTCCACCCTGAGGATATGGGGGCACCATGTCAGAGAGTGTCTGGGTGAAGGTGTCAGGCAAGCTGTATCTTGTAGAATCAATAAGCAAGTTCTAGGTACTCGGGACACAAAGACAAAATACAGCAAAGAAAGAAGAAAAGTGAAGATAGAAAAGATGGGAGCTGATCTAGTGTAGGGAGGGGGAGTTGAGTAGGAGGGTACAGGATGTCACTTAAGAGCTCTGCAGGACCTTCCCAGGCATTCTGCTACTGTCAGCTATAATCTTCACAGGATGTGGCAGAAGGGTTGGCATTTCAAACAGAGGATTCCTGCTTGGTTCTTAACGATTCCTGCACACACTCTCCAACCCTCAGGCCAGGTCTTCTTGACTGCCTATGTCCAGATCTGCCTCAGAACTAGCCCCAAGCTGACCAATCTAGCTGCTAAAGAACATGTTCATTTAAGCGAACAAAGAGACACTGAGCTTAAACAGAGAACCTGACAGCACAGAATCACATTCTCCTGGACTCAGTATCTCTGGCAGAGGTTGCCAAGCCAGAACTGGGTCTGCCTAAAATGTGGGGAGGAGACCATACCCTACAAATCCATCCATTATAGATGCAATGGATGAAACCTAGTTGCAGAAATGCAACCAAGTTTCAGACATGCCCCAGTCCTCAACCAACCCCCATGAGCATGTAAGACACCATTAGTAGCTTTGGCCATGGGACTCCAGAGTCACAAGAACAACCATACCCCTCTTGATTAGGCAGCCCGTTCTCACACACCACCAGACTCTTCGACGCCTTTCGACCTTTGGCAGATGGGAGTTCATGGTTGTCTTGTATTCCCTTGAGAAACAGACACAGAATGTAAGCCAAAAGGGCTAGGCTGACATACCGGTATCAAGTATAACATGAAGGATAAATAAGCCTTCCACCTCGGAGCACCCCCAGGTCACAGTCTGGAGCCCTGGAGGTAGGTAGGTAGAGACTCCAATCTCCACTTATGACAAGAAGGAATAGAGACCCAGAGAGCTTGAGACACATTGGGGAAGACCCCAGTATAAGCACTGGAGACAGAAAGCACATTTAAGCCACCTGTCAATAGTCATAATAAAATGGAAGCCTCTGGAACCCAGACTCATTCCCCTGACCTTCAGGAAGGCTAAGCCAACCACTTGAGTTCCACCAACTTACCCGTTGTTTGATGGCTGCCATGACTTTCCGTAGGTCATGAGACGGGAGGGATTGCTTCAGAAATGCATCAAACTTTGCATTTGCCATCAAGATATTCACCATCTTCCGGCCATAAAACCTGCCACCGGGGAGAGAACAAATGAAGAAACAGCCACTGAGAGGCTAATAAATTCACTCTACAGCTTTATACAACTTTCCCAATTATAATAGGAGAGCTTTGCATACTTCTAATTAGGAAAGCAATCCCTATCCAGTTAAAAATTAGATTCATAAAAGAATAAACATCATCCATAATGCCATTACCAAGAGGAAATCACTATTAAATTTTTATATATTTTCTTAGGTTTTTTTCTATGCATTTACATTTTAATAGATAGCAGAACTCATAGGCAACTTGTTTCCAGACTTTTCACTTGCTTATTATTCATCTTCCCAAGCTATGTAATATTTTTCATATGTACCTTATTTTCAAGATTTTCTAAAATTTGTGTGTATGTATATTTGTCTAGGTATATGTGTGTCTACAGGTACTGCAGAGTCCAATACACAATGCTGGAACTCCTGGAGTTATGGGTGATTGTAAGCTGTACACTGTAGGTACAGGGACTCGAATTTAGGTTCCCTGGAAGACTTCTCAAATGTACCCGACCACAACCTGCCTCAAAGCACAAGCAAGACACTATTGGCAGCTTTGGCCATAGAGATAAAAGCAGCCATACATCTCACTGGAAAAGTGCCCTTAACCACTAAGCCGTCTCTCCAGCTCCCATAAAGTATCTTTTTAATAGATATCCATTATAGCTATTATCCAGTATATCCAATATCCATATAGCTATATTTCCAATAGAGGAATATTTAATATTCTGCTGCATGGCTATCAGAAGTGTTCTTAACTCCCCCCCCACCCAGGTTTGGGACACTCAGAAGTCTGTGGAAAGGTATAGGAGGGGACTGTCAACTCTACCTGGTAAATAGTGCTGGCTGGGTACAAGAATCAAGGAGAGCTTGGGTTTGGGACTCAGTGGATGGATGGGAACTTACAAGTACACTAGGACTAGAAAGAAGGGGGTGGTGCCTTCTAAAGTCTACAACACAGTCTGACCCAACAGCCAGATACAGTTGGAGAATATAAGGCTGAAGGAAGCCAGAGGAAGGAGTAGGCTGTATTCAGGGCAATGTGAAAGGACTGGGCTTTGGCCTACAAGCAATGGGAAGCTGAGGAATGGCCAAATCGTCATGTTAATCTCCAGGCAGCAAAGATATCTTGTTTCCTATAACTCCAGGCCACTCCAACACACACATACACACACACACACACACACACACAAATTAAATTAAACTAAAAACAAAATCAATCTTCTAACTCTGACAGGAAGTGAATAGGGAAGGACAAGACTAGGGGCTTGAAGATCTGTCAGGAGGTCACCATCACAGATCGGGTATGATATGAAGTCCAGAAATAAGCAACAGAGTGAGAATAAGATGAGACCAGTTAGTTTCAAGAGCTGATAAAGGACTTGAAATGGAAGGATTTCAAAGCCTGGAGTAGACAGCACTTAGAATGATGTCTTACCCAACCTCAGAATCTGTTATTTATAAAATGTATCTCTATTTCCCATGAAGGAAAACCAAGGCAAGAAAGTGCTAGCGTTTCCACTGTCTTGGGTGCCACTGCCCATGTGTGGGGGCTTCCAGAGGAACAAAGGTCACATGACTTGTAGTCCTTGCTTTTCTCTTGCAAGCACTCTTCCCTGCTTTGCAAGAAAATGTGGGGTTTGGGTCATTCTTCTACCACAAAGTCTTGCTTTATTCATGTCTGACTGCTGTCATGCTACTTCTGTCACTACTGCAGCTGTGGTCTCAGTGCCAAGGGACTGTACTGCACTTCTAAGGCATTTGAGATAGAAATTAGCTCAGCACTCTCTCAACAGCACCCAAAGGGACTACTGGAAATAAACTCCCAGTTATCAACCGAGGAAAAGTTCCCAGCACCATTCCTACAGTACAAACTTTAATTACAAAGTTCCTACAATGAGCAACAGCTACTACCGAGTTTGCAATGTGCAGATAGAGAACAAAACCCAGATCACAGTCACTGGCCAGCCAACAGCAAGTGGGCAAGGCCTCCCACTAAAAGATGCGTACATGCTGGTTTCAAAAGATGCTATGATCTGGAGGACAACGTGGCTGGGAGGATTCAGTAAAGAATGGGAATCCCCATTTTGCATCTTGCATGACTTGGTGAGTGTTGGTGACTTTGAACAACATGGGGAATACACTCCAAGAAGGAGACTTGGGAAAAAGCAAAGAGTTCTTTTAAGGACACTTTAAAGATGGGAGTGGGACATCTGGGAATGGATGTCCTGGTGAAATTAGAGAAAAGAGATTGATGTGGTGGTAGGAGAGCCAGAGAAAGGAGATATGGTGGTTAGCTTTAATTGTCACCTTGACATAATCTACAGTCGCCAAGAAATCGAGTCTCCATGAGAAGTGATCTAGACTAGGTTGGCCTCTGAGGACATTCTTAGTTGAGTTCATTGAGACAGGAAGACACATCTGCAATGTGGCTCATCTTACAGGCCCTAGCCTGAGTGACAGGAGAGAGCTGGCTCAGCAAATGCATGCACACATGTACTAACTCATTGCTTTGTGCTCTTGACTATGAGTGTAAGGGAACTCTGCTTCAGGTTCCTCCTGCCCTGACTGTCCCACAGTGATGGACTGTAACCTAGAATTTCTAGCCAAAAACAAACAAAAAAAATGCCTTTTCTTCTTTGAGTTGTTTGTGTCAGAGTATTTTATCACAGAAACAATCAATGAAACTAAGGCAGAGGACTAATGTCATTACACAGTCACCTCCAGATGATAGGAAGAATGGAGAACTTGCCCTAAGGAGTGAGGAGAAGCAGGAAGGCCTGAGCTCCAGATACTAGAGTACCACAAAGGAAAATAAAAAATGGTGAGCGCCATCCAGTGAGCAATTAGGTCTAGCAAGATCTTAGGTCTTGATTTCCATCCCTCCCACCCAACTGTCACGACAACCCCTAGCTTGCCTCTACAATATTCTTCAGTTCAATGAATGGCACCACCACTGACCCAGCTATTCAGTTTAAAACCTACAAACATCTTTGGCTTTGATGTATCTTTGAAACCCTCACAGCCCATATCTTGATGGCTCTGCCTTCAAAACAGACCCAATGCCCAACCCATCTCCTGGCCCAGCCTCCAGTATCTCCCACCAGGATTATGGAATCACCATAGCATATGGAATCACCATCTGTCTGCCATCATATGAAAATCAAAGCCATCAGAGAAACAACCCAGAAGCACTGGGGGACTTCACTTCCTCCTGTTAGATCCATTGAAAAAAAAGGAGGAAAAGAAGGAAGAGGTAGGTATTGGCAATCATTGGCCAGATCAAGGGGAGGTAGCAGCTCAGGCATCAGGGAGGTTCTCAGGGGAGACACTCTGGGTCATCCAGCAGGGCCACTGGAGAGTGGGTGCCAGTGCAGTGCTGGATTTATTCCAGAAGGTTCCCACTCAGCAGACAAAAACATCATGTGCGACACCCTGTGCAGTGGAGGAGACAGAAGGGCAGATACTTCAGTCTTCCAGGGAGCACTGAGGTATGAACAGCTCATGTGACCAACACCTCTACCCCACTAATTAGGGAGGGGAGTGGGACCTCTAAAGCAAAGCCTGGTGGCCTTGACCCCCTGAACCATACTCCCCATTCTCTGAAATAAAGGCACTAGACCATCAGCCTCACATCCAAACAGATGCAGTGACAACATCCCAGAAAGTAAGAGGGCAGGATCAACTGAGCCCCAGCTCTGGTTTTGGGAGACAATCAGCCCCTCCTGTGCTTTTGCTTCAAGCCCCACCCTCACATGTGCACACAGACAGGCAGACAGACACACACACATACACACACACATACACACACACATACACGCACACATTTTTAAATCCTCCAGAACTCTCCCGTAACACAGCCTGAAGTCCAGCTTTTGACCTTGCTCTCCAAGATCCTTCGTGACCTGTGTGTGCCTACCATGAGCTAGTGTTTCTCCAAGCCTGGCCATCCTTCTTGTCCAGTCTGTTTCAATCCTGGGGACTTTATACTGTTTCCTTTGCCTGGATTACATGCTTAGAGCCTGAGAGAACCTGCTCCATCAACCTGTCCCTGCAGTTACCCTGGCCTCAGCCCCAAGACTCATCCCTGCATCCCCCACTCCATTTTGTTGGGTTATTTTTGCTTTTGTGCCCTGTATCTATAACCTAAACTGTTCGTCATACTTATTGTCTGTTGTACATCTTCCTCAAGTAGGAGGCAACCTTCAACACAACTGAGGCCTAATTTTTCCTATTCATTCTCATATGATTACTTAGTAAAATGAGTGCTCAGTAAACACCTTTGCAAAAACAGCCGAATAGTCTGAGACTGAAGCTGGGGCAGATGGACACAAGAACCCTACTGCAAGGAATGGAGGAATAGAAGGTAAGAAAGAGAGGCAGAGGTCCCTGAGCACTGCCTAGACAGGCTGGCCATGACACCGGAGGGAACCGAGAACACAGCTGGAAGGAAAGAGTCCACCTCTATCTATCTGATTGCCCGTTTGCTAAACTCTGCGGACACTGAGCTATGAGGCCAAGACCTGACCAGTGGCTTGTCACCTTGGCCACGCCCAGTCCCGAGTCCTGACCTACCTGGTGTCTTGGTTAGAGTCCTGAGCCAACCTCACCAAGTTGTGCACCAGCATGTCTGTGTTGTCTCTGGAGCCTGAGAGAAGCTTCTCTGCTCCGATCTGCTCCAGGACGGCCGAGAGATGCTTGGCAGTACATTTCCGGACTAGGGGGTTCCGGTGGCTAAAAGGAAACAACCACAGTCAAGAGGTTGGTCCTAGGGTGGGGATGTGAGGGCCCCAGACTAACACACATACAGATCTGTAGCTGTAGACCCACGTTCAAAGCCTTCCTCACATGACTGGGGCAGGAGGTTGGCCTCTGAGGAGTCATTCCCAACGACAAGGCCAAGGTTGACCATAGAATCAATGGGAGTGGGAAGAACAGCTTCATGAAGCCATGTGATCATCCCCAAAGGGGCCTGTACACACCATTTCCAGGACATTTGTGAACCCAGGCACTCCTGTCTATACATGAGTGTAGCCATCTTCCACCCAGGAAACCCCTTCCCAATCAATGTCTGCTCTTCCTTCTCTAGTCCCACAGGTAGAATCAGATGCTCTCTGAGTTGGCACTTGCTTGGTCCCCTGGTAAGTGTAGTTGTGTTCTTATATCCCACCCCCCAGTCAGGCTGCCAGGTCCCTGGATCGGGAGCCACGTCATCCTCTGTTGAATCTCCCAGATTCATGCTGGTGCTAAGCACTTGAGTGATGCTTAGTGACAGTTGGGTACACTTTTGGTTATTTAATGAGTGGAACCTGACCTCTGGTGAGAGAGACCCATTAACTGTTGCCTCTCTCAAAACAAAGCATCTGTGCCCCCTGTGCCCAGGCAGCACTGACATGCTCCACACAGAAGCATCCATGGTGCCCCCACCGTTGTGCACACAGTAGGGAACACCAGTTCCCTCCCTACTCAGTGTCATCCACAAATGCACATGTTGGGTCTAAAGCATAGTGTGCACATAAGGAAAGAGACTCGGAGACTCAAGCACATAAACCCTGTGCTGGGCATCTGAAGACAGTCTACCCTGGTCCTTGTTGTCACTGGTCAGTTGTCACACCCTATGTTAGGTGCCACACCAGGGTCATCTTACCCATCTCCCGCCAACCGTGAGCTGCTGCCGCCATCATACTACAGGAGAGGAAGCTGAGGCATAGAGAAAAACTCTAGCAAAGACACCATTTCTCCCAAGTTCATTCAGCCACAGCCAGGGTTCAGTAATGTCAGGTAAAGCAGGCACTGTTCTACAGGCTGTCTCATGAAGCAAGTCATTGACACTTCAGAGCCTCCATCAGCTGAGGCGGCAAAGGCCCAGAGAATTCAAGTCATGGCACCCAGGAGCCGCCAATACTTTGCAACAGTTCCTGGTACAATAGCCAGGGTCTGCTGGCAAGTGCAGTGGGCTCTAGGTAGGCTGAGAAGTGCACGCCTCAGTGTGGTGAGTGACTTACAGAAGCTGGGAGGTATTTAGTTTTGTGGAAGGAAGGACTTGGGAAATGCCTTTGGCTTTGCTAATGATTCAGTTCTGACTTAAAGGGAAGTAAATCTGGGCCTAACAGTAGCTCACCTCCCCCTGAGAGAGGCCAGTTTTGTCCAGTTTTGTTCCTGGCTCCTCTAGCTGGTCCACATTTCATCATAAAGAAACATAGCTCCCCTGAGAGGGGCAGGAGCCCCCAGGGCACAGCTGAGGCTGCTTCTACAGCCCTGTCTCCCAAGCATTACCATGACCACCATGCATTTTCCAGCCTAAGCAGACAACAGCATCCTTTCCTTCCAGCCATGCTTATCCCATTCTCTGAAGACTGCCTAGGAAAGATAGCAGGAGCCCTCAGGATACAGAGTTTTGTTCCCTCTGCTAAATGTGTAAGGCATTTTTGGTGAAGCCTGGTGTGGATGCCTCAGCATATCTCTCTCTCTCTCTCTCTCTCTCTCTCTCTCTCTCTCTCTCTCTCTCGCACGCACGCACGCACACACACACACACACCATACCAAAAGACCCTCTAGAGCCACAGGTTTGGCTTCCTTCCTCCCTGTCCCTCTCTCCTCTCCTTCTCTGCTCATTCCATATGCCAGGACCTCTCCCTTGACACACACATACCCAGACAGCACATACAAGACACCTACAGATATGAGGGTCACCAGTGTCCCCTGACACACAGGGACAGCACATACTAGACACCCGCAGATGTGAGGGCCACTAGTGCACGGGCAGGAGTCACATTTTCCACCATGGCGCCCAGAGCCCGGTTGACTGCCCGCTGGATGAACTCGCTGGTGTTCCCCATCTTCTGCAGAAGGCAGCGGACAATCTCCTCAGCCTCCTGGTCCATGCTCTTCTTCAAAGCTCGGAAGAGGTCTCCCAGGGTGCTGATGGCCAGGCGGGATACCTTGGAGCGGAGGTTGGTAACCTTGGAGAGAGAGGAGAAGGGACCTCTAGGTCAGCTGTACCTTCCCAAGGACTCTGAAGACACTGTGTGGCCCCCTCTGCCACTTCCTCATCCTTTGCCACGGTGGAGTTAAAAGACCTTCAGCATCTTTGGGCAGAACAGCCCATGCTGTCATTATCATACCCACTTTGCTATTATTGGAACTAGTAATTCCATTTTCAATATGGTCTGAAATTTGTACATTTGCTTTAAATTTGACATGGCCCCCACAGGTCCATGCTGTGAACACTTGTTCCCCCAATTGGTGGTGCTGCCTTAGGCCGATGGGGAACTTTCAGGAGGTGAAGCCTAACCAATGTCGGTCACCAGGGGCAGCCCTTTGATGCTCCAGCCTGACCTGTTTCCACACGGGGCTCTCTATTAGCTGTGTCTGCTATTGTGTGAACAAGGTGCACAGTATACTCCTACCACTATTCCCTGTTGCCACACCTTCCCGGCCATGGTGGGCTGAAAGCCCCCTGAATCCGTGAGCCAAAATAAATCTTTCCTCCAGGTGCTTTCCAGAGTTTTGCCAAGGTACTGAGGAAAGAATTAATGTAGCAAACTCACAGAAATGGCCCACTCTGCTCTTCACACCACACTCATGCTGCAGAGGCAGAAACCAACCCTCAACCACATGACATGGTCCAGCCAAGTATCAACAAACATGTCCTCTGCATGGCAACCCTCCTACCCTCGCTAGGACAGTCTGTTCCCAAAGCTGTAGACTGGCCTCTGCTGGGATCAAGCTCATGTTACTGTCTTTCAGGGCAGGACCTAGGCCGAGATCCAAGCCTTGGGAAATCACAAGCCCTGAGGTTGAGAATCGACCCAGAGTACTCCATCCTTCTTTAGATGTTACAAGAACAGAGACAATGGACAGCGAGAAATGGGAATGCACGACTCCAAATGTTTCAACTCCCAGATTATAAGATTAAGAAAGCCCAGTTCTCAGTGCTGGTATTTGAGGGATGGGGAGTGAACTCCACTTCAGTGGCCAGAGGCTGATGGATATGCAGAGGCAGGCTCCAGAGAGCCATGGTCTCTCCTGGCTACTGTGTAACTCACCCGAACAGCTAAGACAGGAAAAGAATATGTATGGATTAGGGGAAGAGGCAAAGTACACAAGCTGTGGGTAGGCCTCACCTCCGCAGTCACTGCCAAGGACACATCATGCAGTCGTATACCGAGGACCTCCGAGTGACAAGCTGCCAGGTGCTGGATGTTCACCAGGCCCTTCTCCTTCATTTGCCTGAGAAGCAAGGCCAAGCCTGTCACAGGGGGGGAGGAGGGAGGCGTCCTGTTTCTCAGCAGACAGCTCCCAGCAGGGTGTGATTCCAAGGCCTCAGAAGCAAGGTTTCTAGGGGTGACACCCTGGCATGGAATCCTAGCTAGCTGGTCAATGCAAGCTGTTTTATGGACTCTTGGCTGGCCCTCTACTCTGGCTGCCCAGGATCTATTTGAGTCTTTGATACAAAGTAGACAATGCCAAGAAGTTGCTTAAAATGGGGGCTAAAGATTCTGCAAGTGTCCTAGGTCACCAGTCACTGCTTCACTGGGGACCAAGACCATTTGTCTCATTCACATCACGGGAGGAGGGGACCCTCGTATTAAACTTGATTTACATAGGGATATATCTTTGTAGGAGGATGCTTGCCTAACATGCACAAGGTAGTGGGTTTCGTCCCCAGCACCACATAAACTGCATGTGGTGGCACCTGCCTGTCATCCCAGCACTCGAGAGGCAGAGGCAAAAGGAGCAGAAGTTCAAGGTTGTTCTCGCCTCGTTCAAGAACAGTCTGGGATACATGAGACTCTGTTTTCAAACACATAAATTAACAAACTTGATCTAGAGAAATAAAGCTCTGACCTTCCCCGTTCTCTTTGTTCTGTATTCAGATTCCTACCATCCGTGCCTGGCTCTAACATGTCACAGAACAGTGCACAGGCAGACTCAGAAGGACCCAGGGCATGTACAAGAAGTGAGAGATACCAAACATATGAACCTACATATGTGCGCGCATGTGTGTGCGCACACACACACTTCTTCCATGGTAACAGACCCTAGGGGTGAGGGAATAGGGAAGTTGAGGGCAGGAGATCTTCTGTAGCCCTCCTAAATACCACCCTTACACAGATAGAGCCACAGGACGTACAATGAAGGCACCTCCTCACCAGTCATTGCTGTTGAGGCACTGGAGGGCATCTGTCAGCCCCAGCTCTGGGTTGGAGAAGGGCCTCAACTCCCTGAGAGTCCGAAGATCCATCTCCTCCTCCTCTTCCTCCCACTCAGGGGAGCCCAAGGTAAGCACGGCTGGTAATGAGTTAGCTGTATTCAAGGGAGACAGCAAGCATCACCCAGCAGGACAGAGAGGACACACACACACACACATACACACACACACAGAGCCATTTCTTCACACATGGAGTCTGATTCTCAGTGCAGCCACACACACAGGGAGAAAAGCCTGGAGGCTGCAAAGCCAGCAGCTATACTTCACTTGCCCTGACTTCCCATCTATTCACACCAGTGCCAACCTTGTTACATTAGGAACACACTGCCAGCTGGGCATCATATGGAAGCTGCTGAGTCTGTGACTCACCTCCAGTTCTCTCCTACCTTGGTTGGGATACGGACCAATGAGCAGTTAATAGACTCCTTGCTCACTGGGTAGCACTCTTAGCTCACTTTTCTCCTTCAATCCTACCATCCTTCCTCTGTGAGATGCCTGGCCATGGAAGACCTCATGGGCAGATAGCTGAAGGAAGGCAGGGGACAGGGAAAAGCACTGGAGGAGACTGTCACCTGCAGGGTCAAGATGTCACCACACTTTCAGGAACTGCCAAAAAATGGAAGAGCATGGCTGGGGTGTGGCTCAATGATAGAATGCTTGCCTAGCATGTGTGAGGCTCTGGGTTCAGTCAAGACAGACAGACAGATGACAGACAGACACACAAAATGCAGAAAGAGTCAGAGACAGAAAAAGACAGACACACAGAGAAAGACACAGAGACAGACACACGGAGAGAACAGAACATGTTGTCTTTCTTGTGAATAGATTCTAGAAACATAAAGTTCTAGAACAGGAAGGAGTTTCAGAAACCCGACATAGTCCCTTAGCTCCTCCGATACGTAGCCAGCACTGGGTTCTCCTCCCTCCCGTGCCTTCCCCCTTCCTGGCTAGTTCTGCTGTAAGGCATCCTTGGATCCCTCCTCCCAGAATGACTTTCACTATAGTATACCCAGGAGATCCTGACCCTGGATATAGTGTGTATGTGTGTGTCTGTGTGTGTGTGTGTGTCTGTGTGTGTGTGTGTGTGTGTGTGTGTGTGTGTGTTTTACTGGAGATTGAACTCATAATCTTCGAATACACCAGTCAAGAACTGCACCACTGAGTTCCAGGAGATCCTGACCCTGGATATAGTGTGTGTGTGTGTGTGTGTCTGTGTGTGTGTGTGTGTGTGTGTGTCTGTGTGTGTGTGTGTGTGTGTTTTACTGGAGATTGAACTCATAATCTTCGAATACACCAGTCAAGAACTGCACCACTGAGCTTATCATCAGCCCTGTCTTTACTTTATCTCTAAAAAAGGTCTCACTAAATTGCCCAGGCTGGTCTTACTCATTGTGTGATGCAGCTGGCCTTGAACATTCAGTCCTCAGCCTCCTGGATATCTGAGAGGATAGCCCTGTACCATCACTATCACTGGGATAGTAGCCAGCCTCCAACTGCCCTCCCTACCTCCACATCACCCTCCAACATCTTTCTCTCCCATCTAGAATTTAAGCACACATTCAGACACAGAAGGCCCTGCAGAGGTCACTTCAGCTTCTAGTCTCTAGGGTTTGGGTTGACTCTATCTTGGCCTGCCCTAGTTCACCAGCCTCTCCACAGTGCTCATAAGTATGTCTTCCCACAAGTGGTCCAGAATCTTCCATGCACTGCACACAGGAGGAAAGAATCAAGGAGATGAAGGCAAGCGTGTCTCCAGGTACCCGGTCTCCTGAGACAGGCTGCAATCTCATGGAGTTAATTAGGGACATAAAGACAACGAAGTTCCAGTCCTGAAATTCCATCATTTTCAAACTGACCAAAAATTAGGTGCAGATGTCACTGATAAAGCAATGTTAGGGACACTCGAAGGAAAAGCAATGTTAGGGACACTCACAGGACTGTCAAGAGCATAAGAGGATTCAGACTCATCCTCCAGGGAGGTCATGAGAGGAAGGCATTGCCTTTTCCTAATTTTACCCATCTACACTCACAACGTGTGTGTGTGTGTGTGTGTGTGTGTGTGTGTGTGTGTGTGTGTGTGTGTGTTGAGAGAGAGAGACAGAGAGACAGACACAGAGAGACAGAGAGATAGCAGAGAAACAGACAGAGACAGCCAGAGACTTAGTTAGAGACAGTGAGAGAAAGTCAGGCCTTACACATGCTAGACAAAATGTTCTACCACTAAGCCAAAGCCATAGCTAACCATATCTTTTAATTACTTATAATTCTCACCTATTTTGCACTTTCTTCAAATCAAGACTCTTTCTAGATCCTAAATACATTTATTTTAAAGGGAATTTTAGGTCACAATCACAGGTAAACTAGTATTACTTGTGACAGACTATGGTGTTTATAATAAAAGGAGATTAGTCTTTAAACCCCCAGCTATGAAAATTTCAGCTAGCTTATGAAGCCTCTGAACCTAAACATGGGTCCCTTTGTTAAAACAAAAACTAAAACAAAGATGAAAGGTAGAATGGTGCACACACCTGTATCCTCGCCCCTGAGAGGCTGGGGGGAAAGATCAAGGGCTACAGAGTGAGACCGGCACAGAAATGACAAGAATATAAGACCATAGATACTGAAGAAGAATCTCAACTTAAGGCTTGCTATTTGACACAACCAAAAAGATACAAAGAATGGAAAACACAAATCAAAAACACTTTTAATACCAAACCTCTGCTTCACCTGACCACCATTATCTGGCATATGACAGAAAAAGGAAATATGAATCAGAATGATCAGTTTCAACCTTTAGGTTTAAAAATAAAAAGTCTTTTCAAATGAAGGAACACTAGAATGCCTGAGAGGAAGAAGAAGAAGAAGAAGAAGAAGAAGAAGAAGAAGAAGA